CCTGCCTCCACCTCCCAAGGGCGGAGGTGTACACTTAAATATTCTTAAATATCATTATTGCCGACGGTATTTTTTCTTTGTGTGTGTGTGGCATGTGTATGTGCATGTTTGTGTGAGTATGTCCACGTAGACTCATGTACACATGTGTAAGCGCGCACACGGAGTCAGACTGGGTCAACTTCCGGCGTCGTTCTCTATTGTTCTGCACCTTAGTTTTTGAAAACCTCTCATGGAACCTGGAGCTCACCAGTTCTGTACTAATGAGCCGTTTCCCCAGCCCCCTTACCAACCTTCTCTCTCCACACACAGCTTTGCTGTTCTCATTTTGGTCAAGGACTAGCGACATTGCTCGCCTCTTCAGTGAACGTTGAGCTCAGGCACCCCGCCTGCTGCTGAGACCTCTTGCCGCTGGAATTCTGCACTGCTTCTGTGAGCCTGGCTTTGAGCTGGCCCACCCCATCCCTGATCTTGCCTCTGCATCATCCTGCGCTCGGGCATGGCGGCAGAATGAAGCGATGGCCTTTGTGGAGCCATCATCCGGGAAGTCACCAGCAGAGGGTGCAAGCTGCTCTCTGTAAGAGTCCCATCCTCTCCCTGCCCGGCTGCCTCCGCACTGGGCAAACAGAAGCCCGAGCAGCAGAAAGCAGCCTGAGGTGGACGCAGTTAGTTATACCACTTTCTTTGAGCCACTGAAACTCCTTGAGTTATTGTATTTTAAGGAGCCCACTCTGCCTCCTGGGGCTGCTGAAGTCACAGCCTGGTGACAAACACAATGACCCCAGATGTGTGGAGTCAGGAAATGATGGCTTCATAATACTGGAAGAGGGAGGAGGCGTCACTGGGGCACCCCAATCTTGCATCACCTTTTTCCCCCTGTGGCGTTCATTCCCTGTGTTGGAGGCTCACCGGCTTAGACGAGGGGCCTCCTGGCGTGCGGCTAGGACAGACCGGAAGCTGAAGCACCAGAGGTGGTAGGAGCTCTCCAAGTTTTACGTGTGTCAATGACGTCACCTGGTCTCTGGCCACTCAAAACCCAAGAGCCAAGGTTCCTTGGCATTCTACCCCATCCTTTCTATCTGCCAGTCAGGCTGAAGGACATCAACAAGAATAAAACCGTGAAGGTTGCCCACACAGCTGTGGTAAACCATTTCTGTTTTCTCATCATCCGTGGGCACCTCTCTGGATAGCTGAGGGATGGGCCACTTCAGGGGTCTGGGAGCCATAGATCGGGCTGTTCCAAGGAAAGTTAGGCTCTCTGCCAAGCTGGGACAAGCTATTGAAGGGATCTTAGGGCCGTGGTGTGTGTGTGTGTGTGTGTGTGTGTGTGAAGGGGGGCTGTTCTGAGGAGGCTTAGGTTCTGTGCCCAGGGACTAAGCTCTGGGCTGATGCCTGTGATAGTTGAGGGAGAGCCTGGAAGCCTTGCTCTCTCCCTTAGGCTGGCTCTGTCCTTTGAAAGGATCATGGATCTGATGCATCTCAACTCTGGGGTCCATCTCTGAGACTTGAGGTCTCTTAGTGGAGGGACTAGGCCTTGTGGGCAGGTGATCAACTTGTTCTGGTTTTAGTTGAAAGCCCCCTGTTCTGGCAATCTGGTCATCCTGTATGTAAGGAGGCTAGCCACCTCCTGACCTGTGCCACAGGAGGAACTACTTCAGTATGAGTCTCAGAGAGAGCCCCGTGGTTGTAGGTTGTGACAGGGAGCTTCTGGAAGAGAAAGAAACTGACTACTTCCTCCCACCCCAGATCCAAGGCTTCAAGTTGATTTAGTCCTCGGGTCACCCAAGGTCTGGTCAGGCCAGCCAGTCAATCAACTGCCACTGGGACAGCCAGAGTGAGTGTACCCTAAAAGGTGCCAGGTGGCTCTTGGATTGGCATCTAGGTCCTATCTGAGACATTCACAGACAGATATGATGCCTGGGGTAAAGAGGAGAAACTTTCAGTCCATGCCCGAGAGCTTAGCCTTAGAGCCTCAGCCTCATACCAGTGTGAGCACGGACCACACCTGTAGTAAAGACAGGTGACCTCACCTTCATTCCATCAATCATGGTGCAGGGCCCTACAGCCCAGCACAGGGGAGCAGGGCAGATGCAGGGCAGGGGGAGCATCAGACCAAGGCCACACCAGCTGACTACACTGGTCAGGGCGGCTCTGTCCTCTCCAGCTCCTCCAAGAAACTGGCATCTGGGGCAGGACCTCTGCAATATCAGACTTCTCAGCAACATACAGTCCAGTAGCCATAGGGCAGGACCGAGTCCCCACAGAACAGAGCTGGTGTGGTAGGCCATTGGCTCTGAAAAGCAAAAGGACTGGAATGCACACGCTACAGCGCACTCCACTTGTGGTGACCCTTTCTGGCCTCCTGTGTACACAGCCATCTCCCAGGCTGTATCAGAACACAGAAGAATAAAGCCAGGCTTTATTTCAGCCTTTGAACCCACTTCCTGATTGGTAGTGAGGGCACCTGAGCCTGAGGAGGTTGCTGCCCTGCGCTGTTCTGCACACCAATAATCCTATAACTCCAGATCATTCAGGCTGCAGTAGGAGGGAAGGTCGAGCATTCCTCTTCCACATGTGAATACACAGTTTTAATTAGGGTTTCTATTGCCGCAACAAAATACCATGGCCAAAAAGCAAGTTGGGGAGGAAAGTGTTTATTTGACTTATACTTCCACATTGTAGTCCATCACTGAAGGAAGTCAGGACAGGTACTCAAATAAGGCAGGGACCTGGAGGAAGGAGCTGATGCAGAAGCCATAGAGGAGTGCTGCTTACTGGCTTGCTCCCCATGGCTTGCTCAGCCTGCTTATAGAATCCAGGACCACCAGCCCAGGGATGGCACCACCCACCATGGGCTGGGCCCTCCCTCATCAATAAATGCCTTACAGCTGGATCTTACGGAGGCACTTTCTCAACTGAGGTTCCCTTCTTTCAGGTGACTCCAGCTTGTGTCAAGTTGACAGAAGACTAGCCAGCACACTCACCATCACAGAAACACATACAAATATATATACACAGCAACACAACTGTACACAAACACACAGACAGACATACTCGAACATCTGTCAGCGCACAAGCATGAACACAGAAAATGCACACAAATATACACACAGACCTTTAGTTAAACATTCCACACAAAGTACACTCAATATGTATACTACATATATACACAAATTTGTCAAATACGTGTGTTCATGAACACACCACACCCAGACACACATTAACACACATATGTATACATATATTTGGCACAAATGCCCCCGCACACCTTCTGTTGGTGAGTGGGTTGGGAATGAGAGGGGTCATGAACTCTTCGCCTGTGCCTCAACACTCCATGCTTTCAGAAGGTAATTCCCTGGGTTTTTCAATGTCTGATTGATAGGCCTCTGACATTCACTTCATAGAATGTCTTACTGCTGTGAAAATATGTGTACTCCCAATGACTCATGGCTTCCAAAACCCAGTCATTGACTCCACATTTGAAGACTTAAAGGCAGCATTGTTTTGAAGGCTTTCTTGTGCCTCACTGGCTTCTCAGGCTTTTTTCCAGGTCTGGGTCAATCATTCAGGGTCATGTCCTTGGAATATTTCTGACTGTGGCCAGCCTCACACATTGAGTCCATACTCTTGACCAGGACCAGCGTCTCTAGCAGGTGGCCTCTGTGGCGTTGGCTCTCCTCTGTGACCACTGCCTTCATTTTCAGGGATGGCCCCCAAAGGCTGGTGGCTCTGAGGACCTATGGACCAGCTCTAGCCTCGGCCATGCCCTTGGTTCTCTCTCTGTCCTCAGATCTCCCAGTAGCTGCTTAGAATTATTGTGAGGAGCAGGTAGGCATTTGGCAGGATGCTTGGCACTGATGACAATCCAAAGTTGTCACCTAGTAATAAAATGTAGATTGTGACCAGCACTTAATTAAGCAGGGGAGCAGAGGGAAATGCCCAGTGGGTAAATTCAATCCTCAGAATCCACATAAAAAAAAAGCTGGGGTGATGGCATGGGTTTGTAATCCTGGTGCTGTGGAGACGGAGACAGGAGAATTTGGAGGGCTCTCTTTTAAGCCAGTCTAGACTACTTGACAAGTTCCAGGCCCAAGAGGGACCCTTTCTCAAAGAAATAAGGTGGTTGATGCCTGAGGAACAACAGCCAACATTGTCTTCTGGGTACCCCCCCACTTTCTGCACACACACACACACACACACACACACACACACACACACACACACACACCTATGCACATAAAAATGCACACAAACAGTAGAATAGATCTTGACTATGAGGTTCTAAAGTCAATTATGATAACAGGTGATATTAGCTCTGAAAATACACTCAAAGTGACTATATCTTGGGGAAGTTTTCCTGGCAGGTAGGCCCTGGCCTCATTCCTTGATGCACCCTGGGATCTGGCCTCAGGCAGGATTGAGGCTGTGCTGATGGACCTCAGCCACTGCCCTGCTGGGACCAGGACCTGTCCTAAATCAAGGTAAGCAGATGAAGCTATCTGGGGCTGATGACCTTTTGAAGATACCCTCGCTTTAGAAGCACCAGATGATGTGTTCCAGGGATAAAAGGATGTGTTCTCTGTTTTCTGATGGCCCTTTGGGTCTTTGGAAAGAAGTGTCACATACCAAGAACACTTGGGAAACACTGTGTCAGTGTTAGATACATTTCCCCTGCAGCTTTCATCCTGGTCTCCAGTATCTGATCCGATCTGATCCATATTTGTATTACCTGGCCATTGCTATGTGGCAAATTATCCCACAGCTCAGTGGCTAAAAATAAGGATGGACATAGGTGCCACTCACAGTCCATGTGTGTCAGACATCTGTGGGGAGCGCAGCTGTAGGGGCTGGGTAGCCTGGCTCCAGGTCTCCTGAACTGCAGTGGAACTATAGGCTTTCTTGTCTAGGCTGGGACTGAAGGAGTCCTCCTGGGAAGGTTTCCTGCTGGACTGCGGGTGGCATTTGGGAAGAGCTCTCAGTTCTCTATGGGTCCCTCTTTACAGGACTGCTGGTGGCCCTCAAGCAACAGAGACTCCCCTTCCAGAGAGCAAGACAGAAGCTGCAATGCCTGACAAAGTGAGATTTGATCACACATTGCCATGGGACTAGGGCTGTGTCCAAGTGAGATCCTGAACTGCAGTGGAGACATGGGGACAAGGTCTTTGATGGTTACCTGGACCAGTCTTCAGTAAACTCGAGGGTGTGTAGTATATGTGCAAATGTACAGTGCATGTAGTGTGTGTATACATGTTTGATTGTGTGCGTGCAGCCCAGACAGTGAAGAGAAGCTGATGGAGTGTACTGTGTGTGTGTGTGTATGTGTGTGTGTGTGTGTGTGTGTGTGTGTGTGTGTGTGTGTGTGTGTGTGTTTTGGGTGGGAGCTAAGGCCTGGGCTCTGTGGCCCAACCCAAACTGGGGGAGGGGGGATCCTCAGGTCTACAGACAGCACCAGTTTGTACTGCAGTTGGCATTTTCCATGTTAGAGCAGCCAGTGCCCCTCTTGGTACACCCTGGCTGGCAGTCACTAGGCCCCCAGTTTGGAGCTTCTGTCCTGCTCAGCCCCTTTCTTAGCTTTTTCCCTTCAGTGGTCTAATCAGAAGCAAATGGCAACTGATATTGGGTGCCAATCACAGCAGTTTTCTTCTCTCTGGGCTGAGACTTGCACTCCATGAACACAGCTCAAAGCCCTTTTGGAAAAGGCACTTCTGTCTTGTGCAAACAGAATGGGCAAATCCAGTTTGGGATTTCCCCCAATTGGGAAAAGAAACAACAGGTTTCCATGCCAAGGCCGATGAGCCCATCACCTCGTACAGATAGATGTGCGGAGGACTGGGCTCCTCTGCCGCACTTTGGCCTTGTCCCAAGAAGCCTGTCCTGCCTGCTGTGTCTAGGTCCTGGCTGCCACCGGCTCCCCCGCCTGCCCCAGCTACCTTTTAAGCTTATACTAGATTCAGCTGTTGGCCATAGCCTGTTCTGGAGGCAGTGTGAGGAGGCTGAGTCAGTCGGTACCCAAAACTGTGGCCTAGGCTGATCTGCACCAGCTTGGCATGCACAGGGGTAGGTCAGAGCCCAGTAACAATAGGAAATACAGCTCCAGTCTCTGAGAGTGGCCCAGGAGGACCAAACTGAGCAACAAGCTCACCATGTAGCTTTGTACCTGCAGGGGCTGAGGTGATAGTCACCTGTGACTGTCTATATTTAGGTCTGAGTTTTTTGTTGTTGGTGTTGTTTTTCCAGACAGGGTTTCTCTGTGTAGCTTTG